AAACTACTTTGTTTGGTCTTCCAAAAGAGGACGATATCTGCTTCGTCATGCCTGGAGCTGATCCGTGCTGGTCGCTGAAGAAATACTACAACTTTGTGCTGTGGATCGCCGGATCTGCTTTCACCGTGGACGAAGCGGAGTCCAGCCCGGGGTCATCACATGTGGTTGCCGCAAGCCCTCCGGACGCTCCTTCGTCGAATCCGCCATCTCTGCTCGCTCTAGCCCTCCGGCCGTTCCTCACTTTATCCCCGGGCCTCTGCTCACTCTAGGCCGTGTGTGACGCTGTGTTTCGTTGTGAAAGCGAAACTACTTTGTTTGGCCTTCCAAAAATGGACACGACTACAAATCCGTGGTTAAGTTGTATTTACAACACTGTTCCAGAACAGTTCAACCCAAATATTCAGATGTGTGCAGCACATTTTATGGAGGACTGTTTACTGATCCTGGGAGAGTAACGTTAGACTAAAATGTCGGCAGTTCTTTTATCATTTGCCACTGATGATTCAAACACGAGTTTTGGACAGTGTGGAGTAGCACTTGTTGTTTGTCATTTCTCTTATCACAAATGCAGACAGGGTTTTATGTTTACGCGGCACGATGCAATGCAACGCAACGTGTAAAAAGACAGTATAAGTCATTATAATCAGTAATTATGTCCCCACTGGGTGCAACAAATGCCTAGTTTATAATGGGTTTTAATGTTTATGTCTCGTCGCTCCGGCCGGGACACGGCATCACAGTATGGTGAGGGGCGTAACATTTCCGTCTCACGCTTGAGGTATTCGGCCAATCACAACGCACTGGATAGCTGGCCAATCACAGCACACCTCGCTTTTTCAGACCGATGAGCTTTGTAAAAATCGACGCGTTTAAAAAAGGCGGGGCATAGAGGAGAAACAATAATGTACAGTATGTGGAAAATAATGTGTGTTTTTTTACTTTAAACCGCATAAACACATTTCATTACACAAAATACACAAAATAATGTTCTTTTTAGCAGCATCATATGACCCCTTTAATTTATTTCTAGATTAGAAAATAAAAATGAGACTCTTAATACATGCAAATACTATAGCTAAGAAATATTTAAGAAAATTTGCAGATGGTCAATAAAACATTGCTCTCTCCATAGGCACAAGTGATCCATATGTGAAATTCAAACTGGACGGGAAGACCTTATATAAAAGTAAAGTGGTGTATAAGAATCTCAACCCTGTCTGGAATGAGACTTTCTCCTTCCCGATCCGCAACCTGGACCAGAAACTCTTCATCAAGGTACATGTTTACTTTGCTGTGGCATGCATGCATAAGCATTCACATTACGCCAAGATAGCCACAGGTATATTAAGCAGTCCCATCCACACATTATTCAGGTTTATGATCGAGATCTGACAACGGATGACTTCATGGGGTCCTGCGGTGTTGAGCTCAATAAACTGGAACTTGAAAAGTAGGTTGATTTGAAATGTTTGTATTAAAGGTCAAACCAGAAGTGTGGTTTCTGATGCTTTTGTTCTGTCTGTTGTACAGGAGCAGCGAGATGGTGCTTCCACTGGACGACCCCAACAGCCTGGAGGACGATATGGGTGTCATAATCATCGATATTTGCTTATCTGTGAGGGACGGCAAAAACAAAAAACACGTAAGCAACTTTTATGAATTTAAAGAGCTGGTTAGGCAAGCCAACTAACTCCACTAACTAAATGTTTGCTGCTTATGTATTCACAATATTTGTTTCTATTGTGAAGAGATGGGCCCAAAGGAAAAAAAGGAGCCTCATGGTGAGAAGGATTAGTTTTAAATGACCTCTTAATTGTTTTTTGATTCTAGAGTGGTTGTGTCAGCGCTTTCTCATGAATTTATCCAAATACTTCCTGTAATAATATATTCAAAGCAAATGATTCCACAAACAGTGATCCTGCTTTTTCATCTGGGGCCAGTCTATATGTTAATCTGCATGCAAATAACGTAATGAAGAATAAAACCAACCAAATTCACAACCAATATAGCAGTGGTTCTCAACTCTTTTTTTGGACCTCAAATGTTGACCCAAATGTTTTTTAATTTTGATGGTTTCCTGATCTTGGAAACCAATAATTCGCCACAGAAAGCATGCTGTGGTAGGCACAAGCCATGTTTATTCTCACTGCAAACAACTTATAATTTTCATCATTAGTCTGGGTCATGCCTTCTTATATCTTGCATAATTGTTTTCATGGTTTTTGAAAATGAGGCCATGCCACACAACCTGTCCATGCTGGCATCAGCCTAAATTGACTAGCTTTTACCAAGTGACAAAAATACTGTAGTTTGATTGGATGCATGAAAGATACAATAACTGGGTATATTTATTTAGCTAAATTAAATATGCATGATTATATCATGCATTTTATTATTTGCATGTACAACTGTTATCCCTGCTGTATAAATAGACCTGGTAGTTGAGAACCACTGCGATTATAATATCCAGAAACTTTGCAATATCAAAGTTCTCAATATCACATTGTAATATTTTTATTGATCCTCAGGGAAGTACAACAGAGCATAACAAGCGTCTCACGGAGTCTATGAAGAAGAGTCAACTCTGGACCGGGGTATATACCATCACTCTGGTGGAGGGGCGGGACTTACCACTGGACGGACAGGCGGACGTGTTTGTTCGCTTTAAACTGGGAGATCAGAAATATAAAAGCAAGGTATTTACTGAAAAGCATCAGGAAGACCGGTTTAGTTATTTTCTGATGTAGTTACAAAGTCATTAACTTTGAATTTCAAGATTAATAAGGAGAATCCTTATTGCTGCTTTTCTGCTGTACAGGCTTAAAGTTTGCATCCATTTTCACAGAGTCAACTGAAGAAGGTCAACACACAGTGGAGAGAAAGATTTGACTTCAACCAGTTTCCTGATATGTCCACCATTCTAGAGATTGAAGTGGTGGGAAAAGGGGGCCGGAGATATGAGGATTGTTATGGACAGTAAGTTTATGAGGTTTTCGAGTGACTGAGAATGTCTAATATAAGCTGAGTTTTATTTACAGAAGCTGGCATGATATCAGTTACATCGGAATTTAATCTCATGTTGTTTACGTCACAGTTTACAGTAAGAAGGAAGTCGTGGCCTAATGGATAGAGAGTCGGACTCGTAACCCAAAGGTTGCGGGTTCGAGTCTCGTACCGGCAGGGATTGTAGGTGGGGGGAGTGAATGTATAGCGCTCTCTCCCACCTTCAATACCACGACTGAGGTGCCCTTGAGCAAGGCACCGAACCCCCAATTGCTCCCCGGGCGCCGCAGCATAAATGGCTGCCCACTGCTCTGGGTGTGTGTTCACGGTGTGTGTGTGTTCACTGCTGTGTGTGTGCACTTTGGATGGGTTAAATGCAGAGCACTAATTCCTAGTATGGGTAACCAATGCAAGTGTCATGTCACTTGTCTAAGAAGCTGGAAGTGGAAGCAAGGGGAAAATAAATACATCAATACACAATCATAGAATGTAAAACTCTGTCTATAAGTTATACAGTATTGAGTATTTCATCTCCTGCCATGACTATATACAGTAAAAGCAGTAAATACTGTAGTAAATACACATTGCAAGGATACAATGCTATTGATGCAATGATAAATATCACTATTGGAAATATGACATTAATGCATAAGTACAAGAAATATTTACCATTCAGACCTTTTTTAAAGAAAGAAATTAATTGATCAAAAGTCACATTAAAGACCTTTACAATGTTACAAAAAATATATATTTTAAATAAACATTGGTCTGTTTAACTTTATAGTCATCAAATAATCCAGAAAAAAGTAGCACAACTGTTTTCAACTAATAATAATAATAATAAAGTTTTGGGGTAAGTATTAAAGAAATTATCATGTGATAAAAATTTTTAATAAAAAAGGTATTTTAAATTTAAATATTATTTCACAATATTACAATATTATTTTTAGTGAGAATAAGAGACTTTCAAAAACATTGAAACATTTTTAGAAGTAGTTCCACAGTAAATACACATTGCAAGGATACAATGCTATTGATGCAATGATAAATATCACTATTGGAAATATGACATTAATGCATAAGTACAAGAAATATTTACCATTCAGACCTTTTTTAAAGAAAGAAATTAATTGATCAAAAGTCACATTAAAGACCTTTACAATGTTACAAAAAAATATATATTTTAAATAAACATTGGTCTGTTTAACTTTATAGTCATCAAATAATCCAGAAAAAAGTAGCACAACTGTTTTCAACTAATAATAATAATAATAATAATAAAGTTTTGGGGTAAGTATTAAAGAAATTATCTTATATTATCTTAAATATATATATAATATATCTTAAATTAATTATATTATATGTGATAAAAATTTTTAATAAAAAAGGTATTTTAAATTTAAATATTATTTCACAATATTACAATATTATTTTTAGTGAGAATAAGAGACTTTCAAAAACATTGAAACATTTTTAGAAGTAGTTCCACAACAGCTCAAATCACATTTTTTAAAAATATAATTAATGTAAGTGGTTTAACAGAAATACAGTTTACATTCAGAGTGTGCAAACATTGTTACATTAATTGTAATTACCTTTTTATTAAAAAAATACAGAGAGACAAGTTTGAAATGATTTTCTGAGGTAAACAACACTATGCCACAATACTGTCAATAGAGCTTAACTTCAATCAAACCTAGAACATTCAACTCAAAAGGATAAAGAATTTAAAGTGCCCCTATTATGCCATTTTTAAGGTTCCTACACTCTTAAAAATAAAGGTGCTTCACGAGGCCATAGAAAAACCTTTTTATCTAAATGGTTCCATAAAGAACCTTTAACATCTGAAGAACCTTTCTGTTTCACAAAAGGTTCTTCGTGGCGAAGGAAGGTTCTTCAGATTATAATAAGGTAAGAAAGAGATGAGCTGCGTCCGAAATTGCATACTTCCATACTATATAGTAGGTGAAAAACAGTATGCGAGGCGAGTAGTGTCCGAATTCATAGTATTCGAAAAACAGTAGGCGAGAAGTACCCGGATGACCTACTACTTCCGCCCGAATTCCATAGCATGCATAC